CCTTATCTCCAGGACATCTTTTTGTATCTCACCTTTCAAATTCAGGACTCTTCTGATGACAACCCTCCCCCACCCCACCCAGATCAAAAAGTGAAACTTCCCACTCTGACTGGGATTTGCAGCCGGGCAGGAGTGATTGAATCCTTCTGCCCAGATGGGAAGAGGTGGGTGAAGAGATTAAATCATCTCCCTCGCACTCGAGGAAATGTGCTGCTGACCCTGTGCTCCCAGGGTCTGCGAGCCCAGTACCTGGGGCTTTCACGAGTGCCCAGGTGGGCGGGCAGTTGCCTGTAAGTAATTGAACTGGAATGGGAACATTCCAATGAAGTAGAATAAGGACCAGGCTGAGCTAGGCCCCTTCCCTGGCCTCCATACCTCACAAACCAAATCTGGCCACCACGTCTCAAAAGAGGAGCCCTAAGGGGATCCCCAGACTGCCAGGAATGTCTCTGTACCCTCAATTCTCAGAAAATACAGCTCTCTGCCTTTCCTCATGGCAACAGTAAACAAAGGAGAGAGGTGACATGCATTCATTTGGCTCATGCCTTTGTGACTCTCCAGAAGCTTAATACATCAGGGACTGACTGTCAGGGTATTCTAGGACCTGACCCAGGTGGTAGAAGGCAGTGTTGGCTAGACCTAGACAGCAGGCCTAGTCTAGTAGTCACATGGGACGAGGTCTGGACAGAGAGCCAGGAGTACAGACATCTAGCCCCTGGCATTGAGACCAGCTCCAGATGACACCTTGGACAAAGCCTTCACTCACCATCTCTCCATACATTCTATGGACTGTTACTTAGCTTGGGTTTTCCCAAAGAAGAGCCTGAGACAAGAATTTTATGGCAAAGTAGCTTATTTGCAAGGGGACACAGGGAGCACCAGTCAGGGCATGGAGAAGTAAGTGAGGAAAAGGAAGCCACCCAATCAAGTCTCGTGAGCAAACAAAGTTCCACTGTGCAGAGCGGACCGGGAGGTGGTGTTGAACTCTGCTGCTCGTCAGTGCTCCAAAGGGTCAAGAGCCGAGCACCTATGCGCCAGTTCCCATTAGCTGTTGGTCAAGAGCTATTGCAGCGGCTATTAACAGCCCATCACGTCTGCCCATTGCACAGGTGCTGAAGTGACCTCTCAAGGCTAAGGTGGCCCTGGGGCCAGGAGAAGCAGGTTGGACATGGAGCTGCTGAGCTCCAAAGTAAAAAGGGCCAGGGGGTGGGCCAGGACACAATGTCTCCTACCCCTGCTGTGTGCAAGTGTCTCAAGGGCTACAAAGGTGGGAGGATGCAGTCCCTGCCCTTGAGAAGCTGAAGCCTCGCTGGGTTTTTTTCCAGTCAAATGAGGAGACTCCTGTCATGGAGGGCTGCAGTGAGATCTGTTGCTTCGTCAGTTTCCCAAAGAATAAGCACTAAAAACTCATTAGGATTATAAAATAATTGGGGGGAGGGCAGGGACTCCCAGCTTCCAACACTGTGCTCCTCTTGGCCTGAAACAGTGAGACAGTCACCAACAAATCCAACTTACAACAGCCTGCATCACCCTCGCCCAAAATGGGGTTGTACGACTCTCAGTCCAGCCCCAACTTTTCTTAAGTACCTCACATGCCAGAGAAGCAGTGGACTCTGAGGTAGGCAAGAGCTGGAAAGAAACCTCATCTTCAACAAAAGTAGAAATTCTTACCAAGTGTTCATAGAGTAAACTCTTCTTCCACAATTAGAACGTGTGCCTCTGCCTGTACCAGGCAGTCCTGCAATTCCCTGCGTGCACACATACATGGGCACATGTGCTGTGTGTGCAGCCACAGACACACACACACACACACACACACACACACACACACATAAACAGGAACCAACTTCTAAGAAAAAAAGGGAGACTATTCTTATATCCTGGGCATTTAAGGGACCCAGTGAGCCATTTGCCACCTCTTCTCCTCCCCTCGCAAACAGGGTGATGGGTATCAGACTACCCATTTCCAGAGAATGCAAAGAAAAGTTCCCTTCCCAAAGCCATACAGCCCCTGATACTTTCTTCGAAAGGTCCCGGATGTCCTCCCATGAGCACTGGCAAACACCTCAGGTGCCCCTTTCCTAATATCCTGAAACCCCATCCTGGCCTGTTTTGTCTCCTTGAGGATCAGTAATACAACCATTTCTAAGCTGTTTGTAATTTCTATTATAATTACTTCCTTTGTTTAACCTTAGCTTTGAGAGGTTTGAAAACGTCAGCCTGTCTTTGCCGTAGTAGGGGAACGGAGGTTTTATCTGAACCTGGGGCCCATCTTAAAGAGGAGAGGCACGCCTGGGGGCCAAGAGGAAGGGCAGGGATGGGGAAACAGGTGAAGGCAGCTCTAAGCCACCCCATCCTCCTTCAGGCTCTCCTTCCAGAGCTTCCCAAGGCTCAGGTTGACAGATGTGGGGGTCTGTGCTCCTTAATCACCAGGCTCATTGCTCATCCTCAGGAATATCCTCAGTCCCATCTCCCTGGGGAGCACTCAAACAATGACTGTCCCTGCTCCCTTCTGGAAAGGCCCCGGGATCTCACCCACCCCCAGAGACTTCCAGCTTTCTAAGGTGATCTCAGCCTAAATGTCATACTCCAACCCAAGATGTCTGAGGCAAGCTCACGTTCTCATTTTGGGGAGTGGGTAGCTATTTTATCACAACCCCAGGCCTCCAGGTAATATCTGTGTGTTGTATTTTAATAATGGTCTTCCAAAAAGAAAACGCTTCCTAGAAGAGTGATGGGATTTTCATGATGGCCCAGGAAAAGCACAGGGTGGCACCGCAGATCAAAAAGTTGAGACCTTCACTTTGGGATCACCAACTTTCTCACCCTTTGAATTTGGTTTCCTAAGGCCCCTCCCAGGTATTGATTTTATGGTAGCCTTCCCCCCTCCCCCACTCAAGATAGATTAGTGTAGGTTTATGGCCAAAGGGAGTTTAACAGTCCATCCTCCCTCAACCCAACTCCATTCCATGCCAGCGACGCTGACCACACATTATGTTGAGCCCTGCCGCTGCCTTGCCCTTCCTCAGAGCCCTGCTTCCCTGCTCTTCCTGCCCTGAGGAGCAGTGTCTGTCCACAGAAGGCGCTCCAGAGGGGTCTGAAGAGTGTGAGACCACCAGTATTCACTCTCACAACTTCCCCAACAGTTGTCCTGACTGAGCTGGGGCAGCGGCTAGCCGTGAAGAAAGGGCCGCTAGCTTTACTCAGCAAACTGGAGGGTTTGCCTGTGTCTTGGCCAAGCTGGCCTCAATTGATGAGAAAAGTCTCCCCAGAGTGAAAGGGAGGGACAGGAGTGCCTCCTCCCCACCCTGATCAAGGCTACAGATCAGACTTTCCACAAGGCTCTACACAAACCAACTCCCTGACCTTACGGCCCAGCCCCCACCCGCACCCCCTCCCTGAGCTCAGAAAGGCCTGTTTATCACTCTGGGTGGGACCCGAGTCTGTGGGGAATTGAAGAGAAACAGCCAGCTTAGGTTGCTATTGTTTTGTTTAAACAAACCACTGGCTGGGCTGACTTGGAAAGAAATGATGGGAGGCTGGGAGCACAGAGCAGGACAGGCTGGGCTGGGCTTCCCTGGCTCAACCCCCATCTCTCAATCTTGCTAGAGTGACCAGACAGCTATTTTGGGACAGTGGCTGCTAGGCCTGGGGCCTCACCTTCTCTCCTGGGAGAGCCCAGTATCCACTCCCCAACCCTTTCTCCTAAATCTCAGCCCCTGGCCACAGCTGGGCACCATGCCAACCCCGGATAAGGAAGGGCCCAATACTGGGGCGAGTGTGGTCTGCTATGCCCATGGTGCTGAATGATGGCTGCCTGGATGCTCCTGAGCAGACAAGAGCAGGCTGAGGATGGGTGGAAGGTGTCAATGGACAGAGATCTCACCTGCGTGGGGTGAAGGCGACAGAGTGGGAAGGGGCCCCATGGTGGAAGGGCCCTTCCCTCCAGCCTGGCCCCTTCTCCCCTCCAAAGCTGACTCCGGTCACCAGGGTTGAACATGCGCAAATGGATGTTCTAGCAGAGGAGGCCCAAAGCGGGAAGAGGAGGTGGCAAGTAGCAGCCCCTAAGAGGGGAGATGGGGGAGTGGGGGGGTTGCGAGTAGAGAAGAGGGACCTTAGATTTGTAAAAAGTAACCATGTTAGGGATTGGGTCATCCAGCTGACCCAGAAATTCTCCGCAGAGAACTGAGATGAAAACCCAAGCTCCCCCCCTAATCCCCTCCTACACCCCGTGGCTCAAACTCTCCCCTACCTGCTCCCACCCCCCTGAGCAGCTCTGTGAGGGTGAAGAGCAGGGGCTGCACCAGGAAAGGCTTGGTGGAAAGGTGGCCAGGGCACAGTTAGGTGTTGGCAGAATCAATGAAGAGCCACGCTAATCACCATCATTAAGGCTATAAAACCCCACACCTAGGGGCCGCAGGGCTGCCTGGCATGGCCCGGGGCCCCGAGCTGTGGCACGGACCCAGGGGCCCGGCTCCAGTCCCTTTCATCTGAGCATCTCCCAGTCCTGCACAAACAATAATTAGCACCCGCCCCCAGGTTCACCTCATTATCCCACAGACACCCAGCAGAGGGGCCAAGGGAGGGAAGGAAGGAAGGGGGGCAACTGAGGAGGTCCCAGGGCCAAAGAATCTGCCCAGGATTTCGGGCCAAGTCCACCAAGACCCGTCTGGCCTCACACTGACCTTCCATGCCCTCCGATTGCTCTGGCAGCCGTGGCCTAATATTCCAGAGGCCCCGGAGAGAGAGCCTGGCGAGGACTGTCAGCCCTGCCTAGTTCTGAGCAGGACCCGCAGGCTGAGAGTTGCTTCCTGTGGCCAGTCTGGGGGTACAGCGGTGTGTGTGGGGCGCCCATTTGGAAGTGTCCTCCCAGGCGTCCCCAAGGCAGCCATTCATCCTCCCCTGCTCCATCTCACTCTCTCAGAGAAGAAGGACACAGCACACCCACAGCGTGATGGCTGCCGCGGGAGTAACCCGGGCCTCTTCCTGTCTCCTTTCAGGGCAGTGACTTGAAGAAAGGAAAGATTCTGGGCCAGGAGCTATCAGGTGAGTAAGGCCCTCCCAGTGTCCTCCCCCGGCCAAGGCGCCGGGAGACCACAACACAACGTCACACTGATGTTTCGCAGTGCTGAAAGCACTGAGCCAGGCTTGGTTTAATCTGCGAACTGCCTCTGAGGGCCGCTGCCATCAACAGCTCCATTTCAAAGGAATGAAACTGAGGTTCAGACCCACCCACATGCCATGTCACAGACCACTGAGGGATGGAGCCCGAATTAAAATGCAGAGGTCTGCTGGGACCCTTCTCTGAGTGGTATGATTGGAGGGGTCACCCCCTTCCCTGTGCCTATCTCTCCACTTCTCCCCCTCACACCCCCCCAGGATATGGATGCCTGTGACTGCATACAGAAGCCTCCATTTTCTCTGGTGTCGTCCTCTCCCTACCCCCAGCCTCACTCCCATCCACCCCTCCCCAAGTGGTGGCTCTGGTGGTGGACCGGGCTCTGGTTCTGTGAAACCAGGCACCTTGGGCACCAGATAGACCTGGATTCAAATCCTAACTCCTCCACTGATTGATCCAACCCCTCAGAGCTCCCATGTCCTCATTTAGAAAATGGCAGTGACGCCCACCAAGCAGCAGTGAGGATGCCACCAGGGAGAGCCGGTAGCCACGGCCAGGCCCCATGAGGTGGCTCAGTATGTATCCCGTTCCCTTCCTCCTCGGGCCTCTCTTCTGGAAGATGCAACAGGAAACCTTCCCAGTGAAAGTGATTCCTAGTGAAAGGAGTTACTCTCCATCTCCCCTGAAGGTGCATTCCCCGTTGCACAGAACCAGTGCATTCCAATATCAGCCTTACCCACATAACGTCATGGTCACCAGTCTCTGGCAGCATGGAACGTGCCCACTCTCAAGGGCACCTGGCCACCACATCCCCATCAGCCTGGCCAGTAGCTGGCTGGGGCACGTGTCTGCCCTCCTCACGCCACTCGCATGAGAGATGCCCACCTATGCTCACACGTGTTTCTCAGCACTGGAGGTACATACACATCCTGACAGATGCCCTCCGAAAGAGCCTCAGCACTCTCATACGCAGGCTTCTCTGTCCCCTGCACCTGCCCCAGTGCAGATCCCCAGGTCACCCAAACTCACACAGCTCCCAACACACCCTGAACTGTCCTCATTATGAGCACACACACACACACACACACACACACACACACACACACCCCACGTCTGTTCTGCAATGCAAAACTCAGGGAGAGATGAACAGTAAGGAATTCCCCTGGCTGTGGACATGCTGGAGGCACTGCAGCCTGAAGTGCACCCTAGGAAACCTTTCCAATAGTTCCAAAAGCAGGTGGTTCTTGTCTAATGATGAGGAGAAGAAGGCGGTCATAGCACACCATGGCTCCCTCCCAGCTCGTCCTCACTGAAAATCCCCTGTCCCCACCCACTCCCACTCCCAGGAAGTTTCTTGGCTCTTCCAAAAGGGAAGAGGTACAGGACTCTTGGAAGGAGGCCCAGTATGACCAGTAAAACTCCAGAGGGCCTGCATAAATTTGGAGGAGCAATCTTTCTCTTCCAGAAAGATCTGCCCCCTGCAGGGGAGCAAAAGGGAGGGAAATGGGACATCTCCGGAAGAGCCTGAGTGGGCTCCCGGTGCCCCAAGCGCCCAGATCCTACAGCTTCCATGATCAAACCTTTGAACAGAGTCCCACCCACCCCCATAACCACTTCCAGATCCTCCAGATCCAGCCAAAAAATTGGCTTCTTTGGGGATTGAGTTCACAAGGAAATATTGAAAAAATAAATAACAATTCCTGCCAAACACACTCACAGAGGAAGATGGGTTTCTCTTGAGGCAGGAAATCCATCAGGAGAGACTAACGCAGTGAGAGGACACCACCAACGCCCACCGCCAGAAAGGCGGGAGACCTTCAGCCAGCCCACACCGCCTCCTCCCCCTCCACCAAAAAATGTGCTTCTTAAGTGAAGCCACCGAAGATGAGCTTCTGCCAAAGATAAACCCTAATGATTTCAATGAGTGAGCCCTGATCTGGGGCCCCAGGACCCTTTTCCTCCTGCCCTGAGCATCCAAGAGCATCTGGGTTCTGTGGGGTGTGAAACTCACACACTCTTCCTGCCCACAGCCTACCAGCCTCCCTCCCCACCCGAAGAAAGTGGCTTCCATCGCTACCAGTTCTTCGTCTATCTTCAGCCAGAAATGGCCATCTCTCTCCTTCCCAAAGAAAATAAAACCCGAGGTAAGACCTTCCAAAGCCAGAGTGAATTCCAGTGCGGAAGTGGATGCTGCTTGCCTTTGTGGGAAAGTGAGGACCCTGACACCGGCAATGCGCTTGGGAGGCAGGGGTCGAAGGGTGTGTTTCTGTAAACTGGCGTGATTGCCCTAAATGAGATGTTGGCAACAGATGTGGTGTTCCCCCCAGAAGTAGGTCCCACAGGCCAAGATGGCAGCTTTAGCTGGATGGGTGGGTATGCGGCAGGGTCTCAAAGAGAGTAACTGGAGCCAGGCAAGAAGCATCTGCCCCTCCCTGCAGCTTCACATGGCATGTGCAGGCAGCTACCCCCCAGCACTTCTGCAGGTAATTGTACCCTATAATTGAGTCTCATCTGGGCAAAAAGGGCCCTGGAATGCCACCCTACCTGTCTGTCTTCATTGGTCACTAATTGACCTGTCTGCCACCTCAGCGGTGGGGCAAAGACTTCCCCAGCCATCTCTCCCCCACCCCTACCCTGCCACTAGCTTCTCTGGGGAGCTCTCCTGGCACTTGGGACAGGACCCACTCCCAGGAACTTCCTAATGTCTAGCCCAGCCTTGTTGGCTTAGGTCCTCCTATTGCCAGTGCTGGGAATCAGGATGAGCCACGGACACCTGACCCCTGCCAGGCTGCACAAGGCGCAGCTGACCCTGTCTGAGCCATGTCTCCTCCTCTGAGCCTTAGATTTCTCTCCAGGAAAAGGGGATATCAAGTAATTCCTGTGCACTCTATCACCTCCCCAAATTTCAGGAGGAGGAGGGAACATGAAATGCACAAATGCCAATATAAGAATGCAAAGAGCAACATCCCCCAAACTGGCAAAAGGGCAAGTGGGAAAAGTGAGTGCTGTCAGCTTTTCCTCTCACCCAGTGACCCTGACCAACCTCTACCCACTGGGAAGCCAGGGAAGGTATTGTCACAGCCCTGCTGCCCGAGGCTCCAGAGGAGAGGAGCAGGGAGCCCAGAAAGGCACTGGTTGAGTGATCAAGCCCTTCACGTATGCTGAGCAGGCCCCACCAATCACAGAAAGTTCTGGGTTGCCCTACGAGCAAAACTGGTGCAACCTTTCCACTGGTACACCCTCCCCAGGTGCCCTTAGCTCTTTGCCAATCTGTAAATCAGTTTAAATGGCTTGGCCAAAGACGCACTTCCAAGTTTGAATACAAAGAGAAAAAGAAAAGAAAAATGTGTCTTGCCCAGGCGAAGATCAGTTTCTCCTGTTCCCTGAGTACCCTTCTTTCCCAAGACATCATGATGCCCCTCCCACTAGCCCAGGCGCAGCAATTTCTGGAGGCTGGGAATAAGCATCTTGGCCTAGGATGTCCCCACACTTGTAAGAGTCTGAAAAAGTAAGGCAGAGCCGGTAGGTGAGTCCACCTTTGACATCAGGGCCACGGCATGTGCCCTGAGTGGAAGTCAGTGCTTTCTAGGGGTGGCAGGTTGAAGGGGGAAAAAACGAACATTAGGCAATGCCAGGAGGAACAGTGAAAGGAGCAAAGGAGAAAGGAGCCATTTCCCATCCCTGCCATGGCCGGCGTCCTGAGTCTGATTCCGGCCCATCCTCCAGAAATCCCAGTGGCCTGTGGGCCCTTCCTATGATGGTAGCAGGCAAAGAAGCTGGAACCCCATCAGGCCTAAAACCCATTATTAGTGCTTCTGGATCTTTGCCAAACCCCACGATTTGTTAGGCACCCTCACTACCTACCTTTCATCTATATGAAAATTTAGAAACTGGACTTGCATCTGGGTACAGTTCTCTTTGACTTTCAGGCTGTTTTATTTGCTGCCAGTAATGGAGGTGGGAAAAGAATCCTCCCAGATGAAAGCTCTAGCTGTCCAGGCTGGTCCCACCAAGTGCTGCCTCCCTCATGCCTAGCGCTGTGCTAGGGGCTCTGCAGAGGACAAGATCCCAGGCACAGAGAATGTTCCCTGCCCTCAAGGGGCTTACAGTCTAGTTTGGAAACACTTAAATAACAATGTAGAGCAGCTTATAATTAAACACTTAATTGTGTGTTTCTGGCTTGACAACCGGAGATCACTTAGATTTAGGGATAGTCCTTTCCTTCCTAGGAGTGTCTTCCCTCCAGGACCACATGTTCTCTTCAGTCAAGAAGGGTGTGCAGGCCTCTTACTGCAGGGTGAGGACATCTTGATTTCCAGTCTCTACCTAGTAGATTTTGGGGCAAATCAATTAACCTCTCTGGCTAAGTTTCCTCATCTAGAAATGAGGGACTGGGTGTAGATCATCTACAAATCTATTTGACCCTAAGGCTATTTGGAGGAGGAGGGGGCATTCTCAGCCCCAAGAAGGGAGGAGATTTGAAGCCTTGAGTAAAGGAGAGGGAGCTCTGGCCTGGGAAAACCCACAGCCAAGAAGATTTTTTTATACATATATATATATATATATATATATATATACTTTTATATATATATATACTTTTTTAAAGATTTATTTATTTATGCATACAAGAGCTGGGGCACAGACCAGAGATGCAGGGGGGTGTGAGGATCCACCAGAGACAGAGTAGGGAACAGAACAGGCAATTCTGAAATACACTGCTGAGGGGAGTAGCGGGCGAGACAGGAGAGGTCTACCTCGCCATGTGGGTTTCTCCCTGGCTGGCCAGGGATCAAACTCATGTTGCAGAGGCTGCGGATCGCTTCATAGTGCGGTGCTTAACCCTTTGGGCCACCAGGGAGGCCCTATTTTATATAGTTTTTACATCATTTTTCATTTTTGCACAATGTGTGCATTTTCATCTTGGTTATAGTCCCCATACAATTCCCACCACCCTTGTTTTGATCCTACTCCCTTCTCCCCCTCACCCCCCCATAGTGTGTCTCTGGTTTATAGTTGTTTGTTGATTTTGATTTTTCCTGGTCCCTTATTTAGGTTTTCTAAATTCCTGCTATGAGTGAGACAATTCGGTATTTTTCTTTTCCTTTCTGACTTATTTCACTGAGCATGATCCCTTCCCGCTCCATCCATGTTGCTGCAAAATGCATGAGTTTATCTTTTTTGATTGCTGAGTAATAGTCCATTGATTTTTTTTTTTTTAACAAATATTTTTTTTTTTTTTAGAGGCATGTTTTATTTTATTTATTTATTTGTTTGTTTGTTTTGTTTATACATGCACTGGGCACAGTCAGAAGCGCGGGAGGGTGAGAGAATTCACCAGAGCCAGAGCGGGGAGCAGAGCAGGCAGAAGGACCGAAGCACACCGCTGAGGGGAGCAGCGGGCGGCAGGAGAGGTCCGCGCGCCATGTGGGACCCTCCTCAGGTGGCCGGGGAGCAGCCGGGGATCGAACCGGCGCCGCAGAGGTCGCCGGCAGCTTCGCAACCCAGCGCTCAACCACTGCGCCACCGGGGAAGCCCTGATTTTTTTTTTTTTAAGTGAGAAGGAGCACCCTTTGCCAGAGGGCAGTGATAGCAATAAAAGGAGAAAAAAGTGAAAGATTGTGGAGGCCCTGGAAAGCCGGCAGTGGCGTCCACACAAAAACCACTCTTTGGAGATGATTCACCTGGAGGGCTAGGCAGGTGGGACCAGAGCAAGGGAACCGGAGGCCACTGGAGGCATGGAGACATGTGGTGTGGAGGAACCCCAGGGTGATTGCAAAAGCCAAAGTGGCCCTTGCACAATGTAGGGACTCCAAAGGCCTGGAGCTCATTGAGGCACCTGGATAATGCTTCAAGGACTCAGGATGCCCAGGCTGAGCCAGTCCTCAGGAGGCCAGGGCATGGAACTCCGCCAAAGAACCCAGGCCCTGGGGCTTGCTGTGGTCTAGTTTCTTTGCCAAGGGAAGAAAACAGAGAGAGGGGTTTGTCATGGGGTATGTGTGGTGTAACCAGCCACTTGTATCCCCCGGGTGAACAGGCAAGTATAACGTCTAGAAATTGGAAGGGTAAGGTCAGTATGCAGGAGTCAGGTAGAGGGGCATCTGTGAAGGGATGTTACCTCAGCCCAGTCCTGTGGCCATCACTACTCCCCCACTGTGGGGCTGAGGTATGAGTGAGAAGGGAGTACAAGATTACTCTGTGTGATCCTGTGGAGGGGGGTGGTGTGGCTCCGAACCAGAGTCTGAAACCCCACTTTGTCCTGTGACCCCAGGATGACACACATGGGGTGAGCAAGGGGGAGATCTTGAGAACTGAACTCTTGTGCTGTGACCTTGTTGGGTGAGCCTCCCATCCCTGGACCTCAGTTTCTTCATCATCAAGATGTAGGGGTTGGACTGGCTGGTGCACCGTTGACTGATACTTAACAGATATGCTCCCAGGTTAGGAGCGTTCTAGCTCCCCTCACCCCAATTTCTGCCAAACAAATGCAGACAGCAGTTATCAGGCCTGCCAACCCCACACACTTCTGGGTGGAGGCCATAGACCATATATGGGGCTTCCAGAACCACAGCAAGGGCCCCAGACAGGGATTTAGAGCTGCTTTGCTTCTAGTTCCTGAACTGTCCCACATCTCCAGCCCCCCTTTTCTCACCACTACACAGCTCCTACCTCTCGCTCATTCTCTCCACCACACCTGGCCCGGGTCCCTCTCTGTGTCCTCACGGACAATGCCAGGTGCCACGTACGCGCTGTGCTGGTGCCTGTGCCTATAAAGTGAGTCAAGCAGATTGTGACCCTGCTCCCATGAATATATGGTGTCCCCCGGGGTAGCTCTGTGGACAAATGTAACTCACAAAGAGTTGAGGGAAATACTCAAAAAACTCAAGCATGAACATATCCCCACTGTGGGGGGCAGTGGAGGGGAGGGAGAGGATGTTGAAGCCAAAAGGGCCTAAACCACCGTGGTCAGAGCTGACCCAGCTTCACTCACATTTGTCCCAAGACCACACTTACCTTCCCCACTTTGGATCTGGCGTCATCACAGGCCTGTGATAGACGGGGCTCCCTGCCTCCCCACCCAAAGCCTGGTGACCTCTGGGTTCCTCCGTGATTCACAATGGTTTTTCCATACATCTTCCTTCTTCCA